AAACCAGAAACCACTTGAAAGAGCAGCCAGCGAATGCGCTCGCGACAATCGTCAGAGCCCTGCACGCTCGTTCTTGGCATTGACCGTTCCATGGTCAGCTTCCTCCGAGCCTTTTGGTGGTCAACAGCAGCTTTCCATCGTCATTGTTCGTCCGATGATTGGTACAGCTTGCTTGATCTCCGGGGTGCCGCGGTTTATGCAGGGTAAAAGGTAGGCGTCGGGCTTTTATGAAAGATGTTGCGGCAGGTGAAATTGATGATGATGCTGTGGTTGCTTGAGTATAACCAGGTACAAGTTGGTCTTGCCAAGGATGTTGTACTGACCTAGTGGGCAAGGCAGACTGGAGGGACTGAACGTGCATTCATCTCTCTGTCCGTAGGGAGTACGGTAGACAATACCATCATCTCCCGCTCCTCTTTCTTCTGTTTATCTTGTTGCTCCCTCTTCATCTCTCCCCAAATCGCTGTGCACTTCTGTGGTGGTTGCTCCTTCCCTCACGTCTCAGAGGAGGCCTCCCAAAAGCATCACCGCGCCTTCTGTTGACTTTGGTACGCTACTGGTGAACTTCAGAGCTTCCGCACTCCATTCGACTCATTCAGCAAGCGCGACAACATTCACTCCTTCCGTACCTCACATTCACCGGTGCTGGCGAAATCTATTCGTCGCCTCGACTACCTTTTCATTACTAGTTTAGTGACTGTTGGGGTCAAACATCAACACCCTGCTTGGCCCAACACATCTTGTTTCGAGAGACAATTCTAGAATAATACCCGGCAGAAATCAACTCAAGCATCTGGATACTGCATCAATTCGAAGACCTCTCGCCATATCGCTTAGTCCTCATTGCCAATATGGCGGCCACCAACAAAGATGCCGAGAAAGGCGTCAATGTCTCGGATCAGGACGAAAAGAGTCAGCAACAACCACTTGATATCGAGACCAAGACAGCCAAGGATGAGAACCACCATGGATCCCGCAAGTTCTCACTGGATACGACAGATGCTCTGACTCCTGATCGCGGCACCGAAGACATGTTTAACACGAAAGATAACAACAAATTCGCTTTCGCCCCCGGTCATTTGAGCAAGCTCTTGAACCCAAAAAGTCACAACGCCTTTTATGCTCTCGGGGGCCTTGCTGGTCTAGAGAAGGGTCTGCAAACCAATCGCAAGACCGGCTTGGGTGTTGATGAAGACAAATTGGATCACGCCGTTTCGTTCGAAGAGGTGGCCCTCAAAGGCGTGCCCAAGTACGGAGCAGCTGGAAACACAGTCCCCCAGCCTGACCCAAAAGCGAAGAATGATATCCCCATCCCACCTCCACCAAGCGAGTACACCGGTGGCTTTTCGGATCGTAAGCATGCGTTTCGAGATAACAAGCTACCTGACAAGAAGCAAAAGTCGTTTCTACAGATGGTGTGGATCGCCTACAACGACAAGGTGTTGATTTTGTTGTCGATTGCCGCCATTGTCTCTCTTGCGCTTGGCTTATACGAGACTTTTGGACAAAGCCATGCACCGGGCGAAGCTCGAGTCGAGTGGGTTGAGGGTGTTGCCATTATGGTTGCCATTGTTATCGTTGTCATGGTTGGCTCGATCAACGATTGGCGAATGCAGCAAAAGTTCAACACTCTCAACAAAAAGAATGACGATCGCACTGTCAAGGTCATCCGTTCTGGCAAGTCGGTGGAAATATCTGTCTACGACATTGTGGTTGGCGATGTCGTTCATCTCTCAACAGGCGACAGTAAGTGTTTATCGTTGAGACATCTGGTCGATCCCTGGCTAACGCATAGTTCTTTAGTGGTACCAGTTGACGGCATCTTCATTGAAGGTCATGGGGTCAAGTGCGACGAGTCATCGGCTACAGGCGAGTCTGATCTGCTCAAAAAGGTCGGCGCCGACGAAGTCTACGAGGCTCTTGACAAGATGGCAAAAGACAATGTCGATCATCCTGATATCGAGAAAATGGACCCCTTCATCATCTCCGGCAGCAAGATTCAAGAAGGCACTGGTACTTTCTTGGCCACTGCAGTTGGCGTCAATTCTTCATATGGCCGTATCACCATGTCTCTCAGAACCGAGCAAGAAGATACCCCATTGCAGAGAAAGCTCAACATTCTTGCAGATTGGATTGCGAAAGCTGGTTTTGCCGCAGCTTTGCTGTTGTTCATTGTCCTTTTCATCAAGTTCTGCGTTGGACTTCCCACAAACAATGGTACTCCTGAGCAGAAGGGTCAGCAATTCCTAAAGCTCTTCATCGTCTCTGTTACCGTTGTCGTTGTGGCTGTTCCCGAGGGACTGCCTCTAGCTGTTACTTTAGCGCTATCTTTTGCAACATCACGTATGATGAAAGACAATAATTTGGTGAGAGTTCTCAAGGCTTGCGAGACAATGGGCAACGCAACCACCATTTGCTCAGACAAGACGGGAACCCTCACGCAAAACAAGATGTCAGTTGTTGCCACGACCCTAGGTAAGAGTATCAGTTTTGGCGGTACCGATGCTCCTCTTGAGTCCTCAAGAGAAGAGAAGCCCAAGAACAGTACGTCGCCTTCCGACGAAACCCACGTCAACTCGGTTCGCAATGTTTCAGCTGGAGATTTTGCCAAAGACCTGAGCTCCGAGACAAAGCAACTCCTCATTCAAGGCAATGCTGTCAACTCCACTGCGTTCGAGGGAGACCAAGAAGGAGAGCACACTTTCATCGGGTCCAAGACTGAAGTTGCCCTTCTCACTTTCAGCCGGGATCAACTAGGAGCCGGACCTGTCGAAGAGGAGCGATCAAACGCAAACGTGGTTCAAGTTGTCCCCTTCGATTCGGCAGTCAAGTACATGGCTACTGTTGTCAAACTCTCGAACGGTAAATACAGGGCTTACGTCAAGGGAGCCTCTGAGATTCTCCTCGGAAAATGCACCAAGGTGTTGGACAACCCAAGTGGTTCCGAGCTCAACGTGGTCGACTTGACTTCGGAGGACAAGGATATGTTCGCGCAAACAATTGACTCGTACGCTGGCCAAACCCTTCGCACAATTGGCTCTTCCTTCCGAGACTTCGACTCCTGGCCACCAAAGGAAGCCGTCTCCGAGGAGGACTCGAGGAGTGCAGATTTTGACAAGATTCACCAAGACATGACCCTCATTGCGATTTACGGTATCAAAGATCCCTTGAGACCTTCCGTCATCGATGCTATCAAGGACTGCAATCGCGCCGGTGTAGTGGTCCGCATGGTCACTGGAGACAACATCTTGACGGCAAGAGCAATCGCCAATGAATGTGGCATCTATCACCCCGAAGATGGTGGCATTGCCATGGAAGGTCCGACTTTCCGCAGGAAGACTGAGGAAGAGCTCAAGGACATTGTTCCCAAACTACAAGTTCTTGCGCGTTCCAGTCCAGAAGACAAGAGAATTCTTGTCCGAACTCTCAAAGATCTTGGTGAGACGGTTGCTGTGACTGGAGATGGCACGAATGACGCACCCGCGCTGAAGCTGTCAGATATTGGTTTTTCCATGGGCATTGCTGGCACCGAAGTTGCGAAAGAAGCATCTGGTATCATTCTGATGGATGACAACTTTGCTTCAATCGTCAAGGCCCTGATGTGGGGAAGAGCTGTGAATGACTCTGTAAAGAAGTTCTTGCAGGTAAGTTGCATGAGTGAAGTGATTAGACGGAATCCGCTAATAAGTCAAAGTTCCAACTGACCGTGAACGTTACCGCTGTTGTTTTGACATTTGTCTCTGCAGTCGCCAGCCCTACACAGGAGTCGGTTCTCAACGCCGTCCAACTGCTCTGGGTCAACTTGATCATGGACACATTTGCCGCGCTCGCGCTTGCCACGGACCCGCCGACTCGCAGTGTCCTGGACCGCAAGCCTGACCGAAAGTCTGCTTCACTTGTCACGCTGAGGATGGCCAAGATGATTATGGGACAAGCAATTTTGCAGCTCGTGATCACCTTTGTCTTGAACTTTGCTGGACGCAGCATTTTGGGCTATGGCACATCCGAAGATGATACCAAGAGTCTGAATACCCTCGTTTTCAACACATTTGTTTGGTTGCAGATTTTCAACGAACTGAAGTACGTAATTTATGGTGAAAAAGTTATGAATGATCAGCTAACTCTCTACTAGCAATCGCCGCCTAGATAACAGGTTCAACATTTTCGAAAACATCACCAAGAACTACTTCTTCATCGGAATCAACCTGATCATGATTGGTGGTCAGGTTCTCATCATTTTCAAGGGAGGTGAGGCATTCCAGATCCATGCTCTAAATGGCAAAGAATGGGGTCTCTCTATCGGCCTCGGCGCCATCTCTCTTCCTTGGGGAGCTTTCATCCGTCTCATTCCCGACGCGTGGGTGGCTTCATGTCTGCCATGGTTCATCCGCAAGAAGTGGGCGCCTGATACGATTTCGGAGAAGCGTCTCGAGGAGCATCGCAAGTTTACTGGCGGTCTCGAACCTCCTCTGCGGACACACACTGGACTCAGAGGCCGCAGAGCGCAGGAGCACATGCCGTTCCGCCAGCGGATGCACAATGTGAAGGTCCATGCCAAGGCGAAGATTGGCGGCCATGATCACAGCGTTTCGCCTATCAAGGAGGGTTAAGAATCAAGAATTTAGCAACAGCAGGCTCGTAATCATGTAATAGTAGTAATTAGTAACAACAACTCTTTTGATCGAGCTTCCGCGACTGGTCGTTTATCACTGCCAAACGTGTTTGGACGACCTACTTCAAATTTGTGTCGTATCAACTTAACAGTACCATAAAAACAGTTAAGGGGCAAACAAAATGAGCGTCAAATTTGTCACACCGGAACGTCATATGAGTGCTCAAGGTAGATGTACAACAAAGCCGCAACTTGCAAGTGAATCGCAGTGTGGAAGGAGACCTGTGGCGTTTGGCGAATGTGGCTGGTGTTGACAGCTGCGACATTCGATCCTTAGTCATCCAGCCTTTGATGGTTGAGGGAAGGTGGATCGCAGAGCCAATCAGAGATGTATTTCGGCAAAGCTAAGTGCTTCCCGGAACATCGCGAATTTCGTCAAGACTCCCAACACCATCCGATTCAACCCACTCTCCCCCCGAACGATCCATCGCCTCGCCGACCGCAACGAAGCACCACTTGTCACTACACGAGACGTGCGAACTTGACAGACGATAATTCACAATGGTATGTGCAACGGCTTGCGGGCACCTGTCGCGCTACCACAATTGGCTAATCGCTCACTTTTTTTTGTTTCTCTCTAGGCCGCCGCTCGCCCCTTCTACACGCAAGTCTTTCCCTCTCTCTGCTTCCTGCAGCTTTCACCGACGACCGAGACCGAATATACTCAGCTTGAATGCTTGCGCGAATTGGATCTGGGACCTGAATGAGTAGACGAAGGGACGTATGTGCTAACTAGTGGTGGTACAGCGCTATCTTCAAGAACAACTTCTCCATGCTTGGCTTTGTCTTTGCGACGGGCTTCGCTTTCGAAATGTGAGATCACTCCCCTGCGATAATCCGTCTTGCTGGTGCCTTGGGCGAGGCCTCGGGGAGAGAAGAGGCCGATGGGTCCGGAGGTATCGGGGTAGTTGAGAGGGAATTACATGTGGGCTGACATTTGCGCTCTAGGGGCTTCAACGGCGCGATGAACAAGTACTGGGACTACCTTAACCGCGGCGTAAGTACTTCAATGGGCACAATTTAGGTGCAGGGTCACTATATGGTAGGCTGGGACTGTTCGCTGACAAGAGATTGAAACATGTAGCGCCAATGGAAGGACATCCGCCACAAGTACGTTGAGGCTGCCGATGACGACGAGGAATAGACGACGAAATCTACGACTGTACTGGGAGATCGAAATAGAGTGAACGAGGGGCCTTTTTTTCCTCTTTTCACAGCTTTGGCTTGGTGGAGGAGGGGGAAGTCCCTAGGTGGGCGTGTATTTTGTACCGATAGACGGAAGGGCGTGTAGAACATCAAGCTACCTTTCTGCATATTACTTGCATTCGAGGCTCTCCTTTTTGCTTTTTGTGAGGGATGACGTGAGGAGGATCTAGGAGGGTTAAGCGGATTGCAGGCTAATAATCCTGGCAGGTGTTGAGGTTTGATTGGGATGAGCTCTCCTGAGAGGTTCTGTATTGCAGCTGAGGTTCAGGGTGGTTTATGTAGCTACGAAGCTGCTTTTCCGGTAGGAGGTTCATCCAGCGTGTGAAGATATCACGGTCCACGGATCACGTATAGGTACTGCAAGGGAGAACTTACATACAGAACCATACTTTAAGCAATCATATGGGCAATTCTACAAGTCTCGTGCTCTTGTACACTCCATTGGGTACCTTGGGCGGTCACTCGAGCTGAACACGTCTAGATGGATGTTTCACTTGTTTTTTGTATTCATTATGATCTATAGAGACTGCTCACTTCCTTCACGGGCCGAGCTTTCTCCCGGAAAGGTACATCTTGCCATTCAAGGAAGGGCAATGCACTCAATCTCAACGTCAACGTTCTTGGGCAGAGTCTTGACGGCGACGCAGCTGCGGGCGGGCTTGTGGGTGAACCACTTCTCGTACTCGCCGTTCATCTCCTGTTCGTGATTGTCAGGGGCGGATCAAGATGGATAAACCAAGAGAAACAGCACAGAAAACTTTAAGGGGCAGGGAAAAATGGGGGAAGGGTAGGAGTGGTGGAGGGAACTTACGGCAAAGTCGCCCATGTCAGCGAGAAAGATGTTGACCTTGACGACCTTCTCAATGGAGGAGCCGGCCTCAACGAGGACGGCCTTGAGGTTGGAGATGCACTGCTTGGTCTTGTCGGCGATGGAGCCCTCGACGAAGGTGCCCTCGGGGGTGAGGGGGATCTGGCCGGAGCAGTAGATGGCGGTGGGGGTCTTGATGGCCTGGGACTGTTGGGGGTTGATGATGGTTAGATTAGACTTTTTCTTCAAAAGAGTCCCATGATGGGAGAGTGTGGTGTTTCCATACGTAGGGGCCAAGAGCTATTCGAGTTGGTTTGTTAGCTAGTGTTACTTGGAGTCACCAGTTTGAGGTGAATAGGATGAGACTGAGAGAACACTCACCGGCCGGGGCGTTCTTAGTGAAGACGATGGATTGCTCAGACATCTTTGCTGTGTTGACGCTAAAGGGCTGAATATGGAATCTTGTGATGATGCGTGGTGTTGAGCGGACGGCGGCGCGGGATGAAAGTCTTGTGACGGATCTGAGGAGTGAGGACATTGGGAAGGGAAGGGGGAAAGGACGAGAGAACTATCTATCGCGGGGTTATGAGCAATTGGGCAATTGGAGCAAAGCAGAGACGTAGCACTACGGAGTACACAGGTAAAGGTAGGGCGGACTGCGGCGAATTGAGGGTCTACATATAAAGTTGGAGCTTCACGATTGGATGGGCGGGCTTCGGGCGGGGTGCCGTTGGTGGCATGTGTGGTGCGGCACGCCCTCCGTTCTTCGGCGCTGGGCCCGGTGCGCGGATGGAGGGGTGGGTTCGTCGGCGTGCGTCGGCGCGGCCAGTTGCAGGTTGTGGCTTTCCAGCGCCCTGGATTGACAAGTTGACATGACATTGCATGATTGCCTGTAAGCTTTGTTGAATACCATGCCTGTGGGATCTTGTTATTGGATATCTATCTGTGGTGTATCCCCCGCTGGCATATTCTCGAAGTTGTATTTCGACTAGGTATCTAGCATCTGTACATTCAGATACCTGGGCCAGGAATTATGGCATTGGCCACTGGCTAGGAAAGATTTCGAAGATTTTGAATAGTTCCTGTCATACAAGACGATACTTGTTCCTGGGGAGCAGCTTGTTCTGCCTACGCGTACAATGTATCTCTTAAAGTGATTTTGTGTCGGAGATTCAGAGGCTCCACGAAGCATCATGGGATACTTATCTTATCGCAGCGGAAGGTGGGAAGAGGTGAGATGAGGTGAGGTGGGCTGGAGCTGCCCTTGCTCTCTACCGATTCTAAGGAGTCCACTTGTACTCCGTAGACTCCCCAAGCCGCCCTTGGAACACTACTCCGAAATTGTTAGCGCAGCTCCATCCAATGGAATGAATTGAATGCCCAGTAAGAAACCAGAATGAGTGCGTGAATGCCTAGATGATTTTATTGATAGCTCTTTCACTTTGGCCAAGTGTCCAGTCCTCTTGGTGATCCCTGGAGAAAAAGATCAATCCCTGCCCCAAAAATTATCCCGTCCCCTAAGGTACCTTAGCCTCTGAGACTACGGATACTACCTACGGATAGGGCCATCTGGTCTTCGGGAAGGTTCAGTGTCAGTCTGCAGTCTGCACGTCGTCAGGGGGTCTCCCAAGTTTTTCCGCTCAAGTTCCCGGGGAAGACAATTAATCTTCCTTGTCCCTTTTTCTGCCGTCTCTCAATCTTCTTCTCCATTATCGTGAGAAGTCAATTCGGGCCCTCTCTTTTTCTCATCCCTAGGCAACTTTCTCGCCTTCTTCTTCTTCAAGTCATTCCTTAACGCGTCACCTTTTTATATTGCGTTCCCTTCCTTCTCTTCAACTTTTGACCAAACGTGACGTGAGGGCTGACGCGCTCCACTTTTCCTCATAGCGTGTAAGTTAGCTACAAGCCCCTGAGCTCGCTCCCTTACAGCTCCAAAGTACCGTACCTAGTGCGATACGTACCACTCATCGATTGGATCCAATCCAATCCCCTAGGGTCCCTCCAGTTGGAGCTATCTGTCCTTCTTCTGTGGTGAACCTGCCTGCCCCCGAGGGATCAAATATTCCCAGCTCGCAAACATCTGGAACCCAAAACTTTTCAGCCTCAAGGCTTGGACTGACAAACCTTTTCCATCGCCGAGCAGCTCCTTCATCGAATCCCCCACGTCCACAACCCCCCATCATGGCGTCGACGACTGCCACCCCGCAGGGCAGCGTTCGCCAGCGCAACAATGCGAAGCGGCCTACCACGCCCGCTGCCGGTGCAGCTGACGCCGTCGTCGAGTCGTTGAACAAGGCCGGTGCAAAGACCAAGCGCTCCGTCTCCCAGCCCGAGTACGGCGTCGGACTTCTCATCACCACCATTCTCGCCTTCGTCACCCGTTTCTGGGGCATTAGCCATCCCAATGAGGTCGTCTTTGACGAAGTTCACTTTGGCAAGGTACGTCGGAAACTCATCTCCCAATGGAGGAAAGAAGAAAAGAGAAGAGAGGAAAACCCAATGCAGAATTAGAATCACCAGAACACATGATAGCTAACGAAAACTTCCCTTTACCACAGTTTGCCTCTTACTACCTCGAGAGAACCTACTTCTTCGATGTCCACCCTCCGTTCGGAAAGCTCCTCTTTGCCTTTATGGGATGGCTCGTTGGCTATGACGGACACTTCCACTTCGAGAATATTGGCGACTCTTACATCTCCAACAAGGTGCCCTATGTCGCCTTCCGAGCTCTGCCCGCCATTCTCGGCGCATTGACCGTCTCCGTCACCTACCTCATCATGTGGGAGTCTGGCTACAGCTTGCCCGCCTGCCTTTTGGCCGCCGGTCTTGTCTTGCTCGACAACGCTCACATTGGACAGACGCGTCTGATTCTTCTCGATGCTACCCTCGTCTTCGCCATGGCCTGCAGCTTGTTGTGCTATATCAAGTTCTACAAGCTGCGCCACGAGCCCTTCTCGCGCAAGTGGTGGAAGTGGCTGATCCTCACCGGATTCGCCCTGTCTGCCGATATCTCGACAAAGTACGTTGGACTCTTCGCCTTCGTCACCATTGGCTCCGCTGTGATTATCGATCTCTGGGGCCTGTTGGACATCAAGAGACCCGGCGGTGCCTTGAGTCTTCCCGACTTTGGCAAGCACTTTGCTGCTCGCGCCTTTGGCCTGATCATCATGCCCTTCCTCTTCTACCTCTTCTGGTTCCAGGTCCACTTCGCCGTCCTGACCCGATCCGGTCCTGGCGACGACTTCATGACTCCCGAGTTCCAGGAGACGCTGAGCGACAATGTCATGTTGGCCAACTCCTTGACCGTGGAGTACTACGACACCATCAGCATCCGCCACAAGGAGACCAAGACCTATCTGCACAGCCACGAGGACCACTACCCTCTGCGCTACGATGACGGCCGTGTTTCCAGTCAGGGCCAGCAGGTTACCGGCTACCCTTACAACGACACCAACAACTACTGGCAGATCATCCCCTTGGTTGACGACCAGAAGACAGGCAAGGCCGTCAAGAACAACGATGTTGTGCGCCTCAGGCACTTGGGTACCGATACCATGCTGCTGTCCCACGACGTCGCCTCGCCCTACTACCCTACGAACCAGGAGTTCACTACGGTGCCTTTGGCTGATGCGTACGGCGACCGTCTCAACGACACCCTCTTTGAGATCCGCGTCGAGAACGGCAAGCCTGGTCAGGAGTTCAAGAGTATCTCGAGTCACTTCAAGTTCATCCACAACCCCAGCAAGGTTGCCATGTGGACGCACACCACTCCTCTGCCCGAATGGGGCCACAAGCAGCAGGAAATCAACGGCAACAAGCAGTTGGCGCCGAGCTCCAATATCTGGTTTGTTGAGGACCTTCCCGCGATCCCCCTCGACTCTAAGAGACGCGAGAAGCCGGAGAAGGAGGTTAAGACCCTGCCCTTCTTCCGCAAGTGGTTCGAGCTTCAGCGCTCCATGTTCTGGCACAACAACCAGTTGACCAGCAGCCACCCGTACGCCAGCCACCCCTACCAGTGGCCCTTCCTGCTCCGCGGTGTCAGCTTCTGGACTCAGAACGACACCCGCCAGCAGATCTACTTCCTTGGTAACCCCATCGGCTGGTGGCTCGCCAGCAGTCTTTTGGCAGTCTTTGCCGGTATCATCGGCGCGGACCAGGTGTCACTTAGACGAGGCATTGACGCTCTTGACCACCGTAAGTACCGTGCGTATCATTTTCTGTCTAGGACACCGTCGCTAATCATCAGCAGGTACCCGTTCGCGTCTGTACAACTCGACCGGCTTCTTCTTCCTTGCCTGGGCTACTCACTACTTCCCCTTCTATCTGATGGGCCGTCAACTCTTCCTTCACCACTACCTGCCGGCGCATTTGGCTTCCTGCTTGGTTGCTGGTGCTTTGTTGGAGTTCATCTTCACCGCCGAGCCCGCTCCCGAGGAGGGCTACGAAGTCATCAAGGGCAACAAGAAGGCCGAGGGACCTAAGAGACACATTTCGGCCCGCGAGCGATTCGCTGGTCAGAGTCTCGCTGGCGCCTGGATCGCTTGTGGCGTCATCCTTCTCATTGCCCTCGCCGGCTGGTACTTCTTCCTGCCCTTGACGTACGGGTACCCTGGCCTCACGGTTGAGGAGGTTGTCCGTCGCAAGTGGCTCGGATACGACCTGCACTTTGCCAAATAGATGGCAAGCCGTTCACATCAAGACCCAACGCGGGATTGATGATACAGATACCTTTTTAGAAGATGTTGCCCCAGAAGTCAGACGGGCTCTCACATCCAACGACCCAGAGTGAACAGGTCAAGGGAACACAGTGACCATAGAGTCCAGCAGAGGATTAAAATGGGGATGATTGGGGACGTCGAGTGTATTAGTAGTTTTCTTGAGTCCAAAGATATACTCCAGAGGACCTTTCTTCATGTGAAGCTGTGATGTTCCCGAGGTACAGATACCTATTGATGGCATTTCTATGCATAATCAGAGGAAAGCATCATTCAAGTCATGCTGTGCCTTGGTCAATGTTCCCTCATGCTTGAGGTCGTGTCGGTCATCGTCCTTTGCAGGGGTGAGCTGTGTCGCAGCGACCAATCGCGTGGCTCCCCGTCTTCTCCAGGCTTCCAAAACGGACCCTGTCAGCCCTGCCGGGGCCCAATGACACCGGGCAAAATCAACTGCAGTAGTGACAGTACATAGTGACGGGACCCTTAGCTGATCCCTGCGGAAAAGCTACTTCGTATTACTGAGCACCTAGAGGTCCCCGCGGCCTCCAGGTGTTGCCTTACGTATTATCTTACGGATGATAATACAAGACTCTCGCTCGCCCGTCTTGGCCAGTGCAGGAAGGAGGGAGATCGACTTCCTACATCCGGGGGATTCCCTTTTTCTCTTTCTCTTATATCGTTGAAGCTGGTTCAATGGCGTCCACGATACACCTCGCATTTTCGGCCTTTGCTCACTGACTTTATCGTGTACATCCTCTCGTCCTTCGGCCTCGTCTTCCGACGCCGATTCGCCCTCCGCTCGAACCACGACCCGAACCAACGACCACCGACGGTTAAGCTCGAGCGCAACGCCGCCGCCGAGCTCACCCCGAAAGAAAGAAAAAGCCATGGGCCTCCTGAACGGCATCCGCCTGAGCGCCCGCCGCCTCCTCCGCTCCCGCCCCTTCCGCAACCTCGCCCTCATCGTAACCCTCTACGTCCTCCTCGACGCCCTCCGCTACCAGCGCCGCGTCACCTCGGCCCCGCGCCACGACCCCTCCCGCCCGCGGCGCGCGGAGCGCATCTACATTGCAGGAATGCACTACAACGACGCCTCCGTGATCCGGACACACTGGAATAAAGCTGTGCTAGACCTCGTCGAGGCGCTTGGGCGCGAGAATGTCTATGTGTCGGTGTACGAGAGCGGGAGCTGGGACGATACCAAGGCGGCGCTGAGGGAGCTGGACGGGGTGTTGGAGAAGAGGGGGGTCAGGAGGAATGTGGTGCTTGACGAGAGGACGCATGCGCAGGAGGTGGAGGATGTTCCTGCGGAGGGGGAGGAGAGGGAAGGGTGGGTTACGACGCCGAGGGGGAAGAGGGAGATGAGGAGGATACCGTTTCTTGCGAGGTTGAGGAATTTGACGTTGCGGGATTTGTGGAAGTTGGGGGAGGAGGGGGAGATGTTTGATACGGTGCTCTTTTTGAATGATGTTGTGTTTACGGTAAGACTTGCGTCTCTCTTTCTTTTTGAATATGGGCAGCGAGCGGTAGCACTGCGCATGTGAATCACCTCAAAGGCAAGAGCGGGGGAGCTAACATGGAAGACTCTAGACCGAAGACGTCCTCGCGCTGCTCGACACCAACGGCGGCATCTACGCCGCAGCCTGCTCCCTCGACTTCGCCCACCCGCCCTCCTACTACGACACCTTTGCGCTGCGCGACTCGGCGGGCCAAGCGACGCTGATGCAGCGGTGGCCGTACTTCCGCTCCGAGGCGAGCCGCGCCGCCATGATGGCCTACTCGGACGCCGTGCCCGTGCGGAGCTGCTGGAACGGGATCGTGGCGATGCCGGCGGCGCCGTTTTTGGCGAATCGGCGGGGCGCGGCTGGAGGTATCAAGAGGCTTGCGTTCCGCGGGGTGGACGATTCGTTGGCTGAGGAGGCGCATCTCGAGGCGAGCGAGTGTTGTCTCGTTCATGTGGACAATCCGTTGTCGGAGCAGTTGGGGGTGTTTGTGAATCCGAGGGTGAGGGTCGGGTATTCGCCTGCTGCGTATGAGGCTGTGAATCCGGGTGGTGGCAGGCGTTGTTGGCTTTCTGTGTGGAGGATTGTGGTTGGGGTTTGGGAGGGACGGGTGAGGCGGGTGTTGACGAGTGAGAGGGTTAAGGAGTGGGTTGTGAGGAAGAGGTTGAACGAGTGGGAAGCTCGCGGTGGTGGTGACCAGAAGATGAGGAGCGAGAAGGGGGTTGATTGTTTGATAAATGAGGGGCAGGTGCTTGTGTACAATGGATGGGCTCACGTATGAAGTAAAGGATGGAGAGGATGGTGAGAAAGATAGAGAAGGAGAAAAAGATACCCATTGGATGTGTTATTTTCTGTAGATGTATCATACCTTGTGATGTACAAAAACCAGTTACGCTCATGTCCCCTCCTGTTGGTTTTCTGGTCCGACTATTTTTCACATATCAAATGAAGTGTTCTCAAAGACTGGATAAAGGAAATGAGTTCACCACCGGTGTGGCTACATCTCTTGGTGCTCATGCTGGGATTCGAACTCGGATACTCTCGCTAAGCCTGTCGTCGAGTAGGCTGCTTGGCGTATAAATTGACTGTCGACCTTTAACCATTTCCACCACCCAGCCAGTTTGTCCTGACCTCCCGACCTAGAGAGGCGCCTGCTGTTGCTGGTGACGGGGATGGGATTGAGGGGGGGTATATACCTTTGGTCCTGTTGTATATCCAGAGTATTCCTATTTTCATTCTAAGATAGGGTAAGTAGGTATTATCGCCAAACCAACAAATGTTCCACCTGTGTTTATATTCGTATCCCTCCTTCCTTTCCTGTGGACTATAAGAATATACCTCGCTTGAATTTCTCGATATGGGATGTGACAAGTTTTCGTCAATTTCTTGTTGGTCCCTCCTAACCTCACTCAATGATAACGTCCGACGTGCCAGCAACTACAGGCATCGCCCCAATCTCGGTGAAGAACCGTCGCAACTCGGGGTCCTCGTCTGTCTCTTTATTGACCAGAACAGCCGTCTTTGTCTCTTCGTCAGAGGCCTGGATTTCTCGAAAGTGATGGGTCCTCTTGAGTGCGGGTTTCCTTTTGGGTATATTCAGCGGCTTCACGTGGAGCTCCGCTTTCGATTGTTCAAAAGTACAGTCCGTAGGTGGACCGTAGATGTCATCCTCATCTTCTTCCTCGTCATCGTCAGAGAAGGTCATGAGGTCCTCGAAGGGTTGAGATGTCGTCGGTGCTGAGGCTACACCACCCTGGTCCTCCCAGGTCTGGTCTGCGGTGAATGCTTCGGGAGATAAGGGGCTAACGAGGTACGCCCCATCATCACCAACGACATTCCCTGTTCCCACATCGTCCACAAGGCCATCGATGTACGTTCCCTCTCCATACCCCTCATCCTCATCATCGTTCATCTGGTCGTCGCTATCCGCCCCGTTCTCTTCGTCGCCTATCTCACCTTCGTCATCAACACCAACACAACACCTCAATCCGCTCCCCCTTCCACTACGTCTGCCCTGGTCCCGAGTTCTCAACCTCGAGCCAAACCCCTCCTCCGGATCAGCAAGCAACTCCAGCAACGCCCCCTCCTCGTCGAGCAGATTACACTCCCTCGCGATACCCAACGCCCCAGACGCCGCAGCAGCAACGAGGCGCCCGCCTAACCCAGAGCTTACGACCCGCGGGACGTCGTTCATCTGCAGCACGTCGAGGAGCGAGATACCGTGCATGCTTAGCTCGTGAAGCTGCGTGGAGGTAAGGTACCCCCGCCGCTCTGCGTCCGCGGCGCGGAGTTTTCGAAAGGCGGGTAGGGCCGTGGAGGTTCGTCTGTGCGAAGGGTCCGTCGAGAATGATGGAGATGAAGGGGACGGGAGAGGGGAGTGAAAGTCTACCACGGCCAGCATGTCGTTGATAGCGTCTGCTGACCACTGTACGGAGCGGATGGCTTGTAGGAGGCGTGTGTACTCGCGCCTGCGCGGGTGGGAGGGGAAGTTTCGAGCGTAGTCTCCTGATCCGGGGGTTAGGGGTAGGGGCAGGATGGGTTCGACGAGGTCGGTTTGGGGTTCGAGGGGGTTTATGGAGGGGGAGGGGATGCAGTGGAGGACGAGGTAGCGGAGGATGTTTGCGTTGCGGGCAAGGTGGGTTTGGAGGGTGCTATAGGGGGTTGTTTGGGGGAGGGAGAGGCCGCGGGCGATTGTGGTGAGAGGGATGAGGGCGGATGGTGAGGAAGGGTGGTAAGGGGGAAGGAGGTCTTTGTCGGTTGTGGGAGAGAGGGGGGATCCGTGGTCGGGGTGGGATGTGGTTGCGTAGATGTCGAGGAGGTCATCTATCTCTTCTTCGTCTTCTTCGCCCTCGCTCGGGGAGGCTGGGGATGCCTTAGAGATCGGGGAGAGAGAGCCTGCGTTATCCGAGGAGTCTGAGGAGTAGACGGAGGAAGAGCGTCGCGGGGATGCAGGTGACTTTGGCTTTGATATCCAGTGTTCGTCTTCCACGGTGGTTGACTTGAAGAACTGGCTCGTACTCTCAAAGACTGTCCTCATGGGTGTGCTATCGAATTCACCAGCTTTCGTTGTCGTGAACCCGTCTCCTTTCTCGGCCGCGTAGGATACCTCGGAAAAGGTGAGGGCTCTGGGGCTATGTTCCAACGAGTCTTTGCGGAGGGGGAACGTCAACGGACTCTCTGATGCCGCGTTGGACTCTGCATTTGCCCTGGTAATGCTCATGACCAAAGCCTGGGGATAAACATCAGAGTACCTCGATCTCTCATTGTCGTCATACCAACCCAGTCCGGCGACGGGACGAATAATCTCGTGAGCAGGAGTCGGAGGGAGGTTCTCCTCTTCATCAGCATCGGCCTGCCACCCTTCAAATTCTCTAGAGAAGGAGCCCAGCATATCCCCAATCGAACGCTCATGTCTCTTGGAATACTCAGAGAAATCAAACAACACCTCCGCATCCGGCGTGGAGTTCGATTCTGCCTCGTTCGTCTGGTCATCACCAGTCCCATCGACGACATCCGCCCCCGAGATCAAGGGGTCCGGAACCGCCGCCTCTTCGACCATACTTCTCAAATCCTCAAAGTACAGCGACGGCAGATGAGGCTCACTGCCCTCGCCGTCAGAGGGGTCTCCTTCCGCGGTGGATGTCCCATCGCTGGAGTAGTCGACCAAAGTCATCTCCAATCCCTCCTCTCCCGCCGTCAAGGATCTTCCAGGCCCCTGGACCGTCGTCAAAGAGCCCGAGGCCGTGCCGTTCGTCGGATGCAACCGCAGTCCGTCTCTCATTACCACACCACACACTTCGAACGCAGGCATATCCTCTCCTATCTCCTTCTTTTGCGCCTCCGACCTGTGACGTTGAGCATTAGCACCTTCTTCTGCCTCGTGACCACACGGACGTGAAGACTCATCAACAGCCCATGACCCGCGCCGGCTGTGATCGTGGCAAATTACCTCTTCCGCTTCATCGCACTCCTCTTTAAGCTTCTCATCCTCTTCATCACGTCCGCCGCGCCCGCACTCGCACTCACGTCCACCGTCCCCCCAATCCCCAAACTCCTGCTCGTCGAAGTCGTCGTCATACTCCTCCCGAACCGCCGCCTCGTCCCGGCGACGGTCCTCTTCGGCGGCAGAGAGAACCCAGCCATCGTCGTATCGAGCGTTTCCTTCCCCCCCACGCCCGTAGACCGTCGTCGTGGTTCCGAACCGAACGTGTAGCGCGTCGTCGTCTGCGCCGAGGTACTTGGACTTCTGACTTGGCCTCACCCGCCGTTCAGCGTCTTCCGTCCGCCGGATGAGCTCGATGAGCGCCGCGGGGGACTCACCTCTGAGCAACAACTCCGTCTCCCTGACGCCCTGGGCCGGAGGAGCCGAGGGACGGTGTGTGGGTGACTGGGCGCCGCCGTATACGGAAGAATCGGGTGCGTCGTAGCTGTATGTGTCCTGTGGACAGTTGCGCTTGGACTCTCTATCTTCGTCTTCGTGGGTTTGATCGGTGGTGGGAGAGTAACACTCCGACGTCTTGGTCGTCGACGTCGTAGGGCGGTGACGGTATGGTTCGCGGGATGATCTCGAGGGCCTTCTTCTGTTGGACGTCCAGCGTCCAAGGGATGGCCATGTGAAGCCCATTGTTCCTCGAGATTCGGAAACTTAAATTATTCTCCCTAGCGATTGTTTTTGCGCGCCCAAAGGAAATGGAAATCTAGATAAGAAGTAGGAAAGAAGTCGAAGAAGGAAGCAATGGACTAGTCGACAAATGCAAGATGGAGCTGGGCTGACTCCTTTTTGACCTAGATGGAACTTAAGGAAGGGCCATTTTCTCTTCTTTTGGCCGCTACCCGATGCTCGAAAGAATGGTATCTGCCCTACAAAGAAGTAGCCTTTGACTGGCCCCTTGCTCGTCAGGCCAGGGGAGGAAGAAGTACCAGAGGCTGTCATGTCAAAGAAAAAGAGGCTTCCTCATGGTATTTTTTGACTTTTCCTTGTCCCTAAATGGGGACCTGTAAAACATCATTGGCCGTTGATTCGAGGGCCTGGAACAGCATGCAACGAACATGACAATGATGTTGTTGATTCTGATTCGATTCAGTATGATTTTGATGTCTGTCTTTGAAGAGCTAACAGTTTTGAAACATTCAGTTCTTCAGGAGAAAAGAGGTCTTCTGGATTCTTCGATAATGATCCTCATAGTCATGGAAAGGGAGGGGAAAACATTGAATCCTAGCAAACATCAACGCCCGGACGTCCTTATCCGAGAACCCTTCTTGAACGGAGCAGAGTTTCCAGAAACAGAACAAGAAAAGTTTCCGGATGAGCATATCCCTTGTTTCGACAATTGAATGTAGACCGCACTGACTTGATTGTTCTCGACGACGACGCCCAGCCAGTTGGCTACCTCGACGTATCTGCCTTATCTCCTTCGTATGTTGATTACCCTCAAAGAAACAAAAACCACTGAGGACGAGCGGGACCGCTTGCTCGTCTTCACCAGATGGGCCAGTATTAGAAACAAGGTGATGTGAGAAAGATGCCACCGTCTAGCTCGGGATCATTACGAGTGCCTCTGTCTATCCAGAAGGAACCAATCCATGTCTGCCGAATTTTAGGGCAAGTAAACAACCTGGTTGTCGAGCATCACGAATAAGAAAACTGCAGCATTGGTTCCAAGACAAAGTCCTCATAAAAGCCACCTTCAAACTGTGTACCTAGCAGGGAAGAATAACATGAATAAAAAAACACGAGGCATTGTATTGTCCCGCCCTCCTTGTCCACAGCCCGAAATACCTCTCCTCGTCGATACAAAAGGCTCAAATCGAAATCTCTCTCTCTCCCAGGCAAGAAGAGAGACAGACCGAGAGATAGAGAGTCTCTCAAGAAGCCAGTCGTATCAACCAGCCAAGAATCGAAACCCAAAACCCCGTTTCCAGCCTCCAGGGGCTAAACCCTCAAAACCAAAGCAACCCAACTCCCCGAGATCAATTAAGACAGAGGTCTAGATGACATACGGTAGAGGTACGTCAAATTTCGAGATATCACCGGGGGCGGTTTCGTGCCCCAGAAGTCGGACGAGAAAGATGTGCTGGGAAAAGCAAATAATCTACACAGACTGCCACCACAGCGTCTTCGAAGACATAGACTGCGCAGACTACAAGACGCAACAGGCGCGCAAGCTCAACCCACACGACTCCAGCTTCACCTCCTCCTCCTCCGTCAACTCTGCCGGCTCTGCCCGCAATCATCATCATCATCAGCTCAACACCAGCAGCGCCAACAACGCCAAAAGAGCACGACGAACCCGCAACCCCCGCTCCCCGTGGATGTTCCTCCTCTGTCTCTGCTTCCCCTGCCCCTCCACCCCCTCCACGCCGCCACCGCCACAAGCCCACGAAGAGTCCGGCGTCTGCCGCGGAAGGAAACGCTGCATGAGTCCCGTCGGGGGAAAGTGCCCCCGTTGCGTCCAGGACAAGGCCGTTGCGGCGATGCAGGCCGTCCCTCCGTCGACGCCGACGCTGGCGAGGACGCGGTATCAGCAGCAGAGGCGTCCGGAGTTGGGGGGGAACAATGGTATGAATGATACTTACGGTGTTCCAGGTGCTTCAGGAGATCGAAATCGGGGGCAGAAGGCCCCGCGGCGGGGGGATACTGTGCGTCGATATCAAGACTCCGGCGCTCCGGGCCAGCCGACGGGTGGTCACGAGGGGAACGGCACGAGGAGAGATGGGGGGAACGCTGACGGCAGAAGTGGCGGAGGAGGTGTTGCTGGTGCAGTTGAACATAGTTCAAGGGGTGGTAGATCTCCGACGTCGCCGTGGTTCAATAAGCGATTTCACGACGCTCGCGGGGAGGAAGCCAGCCAGCAGCAGCAGCATCGTCGAGGAGAGCAGCAAGGTGCCCAGCAAGCACATCTTCACCAGCGGCCTCAAGAGCAGCGGATCCCGGTAAGTCACGATGGACAACGACAGCAGCAACAGCAACATCAATTGCAAAAGAGACCAAGTGGTCTTACATCGCCCCTTCCCACGCAGCCCGAGCCAATACCCTCATACGTCCGTGGATCTACTTTCCACCTCCTCCCCGCGCCCCTGAAAATCAAAAAGAAGAAAAGCAAACAAGAGACGTCCCCTCGTGCGGTAGAGGGGACGGCCGATATGTCCGAAGGGCTAACCCGTAGTTCGGCGAGCGTAGGCCGTCCTCTACAAGTGAACGCCACCCATCAAACAGGAGAACAACGGAGCAGCCGGGATCAGCAGCAGGGAGACCACCGCGCAGTAGTCAGCAGCTCGGAGCCACGCATCACAGAAGCGAAATGTACCCCCGAGTTGCCACTGGAGGAGCTGATGGATGAGGTTGAGATGCTGTGGCGGAGGGTCCCCAATTAGGAGTAATGGTGAGCTTTAGCCGCGTGGCTGGTGAAGAGGGGGAGGGGAAGCATTCCTCTGGTTGCAAAGTAGAGAAATAGAGTAGGTCATGTTTCCAGCGATCTGGCCATCCTTGTCCCAGCCGGCCATCGCCTCCCAAAGCAATCATACCTTAGTGTACCATGTCTGAGGGCCGCTGAGAGAAGGTTCAATTTGGGAGCCCATTGGGAATCTGACGTGCATAACTTGGGGACGAGTAAACTTTCAAAGGGTCTAGCGGAAGGAAACAAGCTCAAGGCAGAGAGAATAAACAACAACAATGTCACAACCCTCTTTCTTTTCATGTTGATACAGATTCGTGGCCTCTGTGTTAGTCCAATCAATGACTGGCTTGTCTGTTGTGCGTCAGGTGGAACGAACATGGTCTCAGGGAACGGGTGTGCCTGTCTGGTGTAGAACTGCATCGGTTCAAAGAAGCGAGTAACCGGTACGTATCGTATTGGCCTAACAAAGAAGCAGAAATGCTGATGCCTTGTTACGACGCGGTCGAAAGTCCTAGGAAGAAAAAAAGAGGTGGCCGCAATTAATCGGCGAAGCGGAGTTTGGTGATAGGCTGCTCTATTTCCGCAAAGCTGATTGGTGACGGAGGGACACCCATAGGGCTGACCGACGGGCAGACAGTTGGGGTCGGGACCGCTGATTCGTGACCGCCTACGTGTCGTCGATACACGACGGGCTTCTTGAGCCAATGGGATGGCGGCATAGGCTTTGCGGATGAACCGATACCCGTTGGAATGAGGGGGGTTCCTAACGAGTCCTAACTCTTGCGTTCTTTTTAGGGCCCCGGAATACGATACGGGGTACGGGATTCGGCGTGTTCAGGAACGGTCATGTAACGTGTAAGTGACGAGGCGGCTAAGTTATTGAGTAGGTACACAGGACGATGTGACGCCGCCTCTCTCCTGCGTTCGGGGTAAGTCATAGTGTGGACGGTGAGCCGGGAACCGATTTTGAGTCAAAAAGCTTGCTTGCTTTGAGTTTCTTGCTTCTTTCGTCTGTCGGTATACAGCTTGGATTGGCTTGCGTTAAAGTTACTGGGACAGGTGGACAGCCACGCCAGCCCTATGTGTGGAGAGGAACCGGGAGGGTTGTGCGAGTGCGAGTGATGATGGTGGTGAGCAATTGGTTGACCAAGGTTCGTTTGAATGTGTTCCTGCGAGCAGACGCGCATCCGTCATGCGACTTTCCCTGCGCCAAAGTCCTGTGCAGCAAACAAGCATACACGACTGAGTACGAATCCCTGGGTCCGGATTCGTTGGTGATATGCGCAACCGCGCAATCCAGCACCGCCAGAGCAACACGCCAAGCTTCAATCAACGCAAGCTAGGTGACGACTGACGGACGAGTCAAGACATGCAGGTCCATGTTATTGCTGTTCGTGCCCTAGATTTCCAGACTTCGACTGTCCCTGAACCCCGATTAGGTGAAATGCGAACGGTCGCTCGTGCGAAGCTGCGGGTTACGAGCTGTCAATGGCTCAGAATCCTCAACCTTCAAACTGTAACCCTGGTACCGCGTGCTCTGTACCGAACGTCATTCGGCCGACCCAGACCAGACTGGTGGGCTTTGCTTGGCTAATCAGACTGGGTGTGTAATCTTGGTGGGTGGGATGGAGAATCAGAGCGCCCGCTGGCCATTCCGACCCCTGCCTGTCCCGTGGTCTCTACTGTAGTGACAGGCCGGACGAAAATGCCGACCTTGACCGGAAGTTGAAGCAAAGCTTTTTGCCTGCTCCAGCGTTTTCTTCTCTCCTGGTCTGTGGATGCGCTGGCTTGATCGGCCCCCAACAGTAAGCAGAGGCCATGGCAGTTGGTCCGCAGTGGACCGTTTTCAATAAACTCCACATATCACGGACCACGAGTTGATGGAGACTGGTGATATCAGCAACGCGCGAGAAATGGTATCCGTACGGGCGCCAAGGGCGTCATTGGTCAATTTCCGCGTTGAGAGGTGACATAATGAAGAGGGTTGGTGTTGGTCTCAATTCAAACTGGACCCCGTCTGCCGTTTTGGGCAAACGCAAGGGGAGCCCTGATCTACTGGTCGTTGAGAAGGCCTATCGCAAAGACGTAGGTACGCATCACAGTGGATGGCAGCATGGCATTGCTGCGACCTTGAGGGCCTGCGGAGGAGGCTGAGGGCCCTTTGAGACTCTGAGTGACAGAGGAGCGGAATTTGGAGTATGTAAGACAGCCAACAGTTCGCTTGGGAATGGTCCCAGGTTGGCGGAGAATGAAACGACCCAGTGGGAAGTCATGGATCGGGCTGGCGGGTGGAGATTGATGAGCGGGTTAGCTTTGGGACTTTGGTTCTGATGGGCTGATTTTGACGGGGGTAAGCGAGAGAGACTCAGAGCGAGGCCAAATTAAGTCTAATCCCTGACCCAGTTTCCGAGTGTAAAAAAGGTACCGTGCATGAGACTATGAGTCTTGTCCAGTCTTGCTCATGTCTTGGTTCTCATGAGGACTCTTAGCTTGCCGCCCTACCGTTAGCGGCCTCAAAGCCACGACCGGTGCAACAGGTGTGCAGGAGAGAGGGCCATAATAAGGTGGTAGGTAGATAGCGAGCTATGCTGTGCTGTGCTGTGCTGTGCTGTGTTGTATAGGTATGATGGCATGGTACGGAGTAATGCTGTGCAATGCGGTATCGTGAGATCAGATGTCACTGGTGACTGGCGAGCTTGGCTGTGCAGATGCGTTTCTGGTCACTCGTATGTTGATCTGGACGAAAGCGTCCCGACTCTAAGGACGCTGGTGAGGCTGGACAGCCAAATCGTTCCCTACATAGAGGTTTCGAGTGTATCCGTAGTCCGTACAGAGTACGAAGTACTGCGTAGGGAGGCACTGTCACCTGTGGACAACGGCGAGAGATGAGGATGCCCAATAGCCCACTTCAGCCCATCTTCAGCGGTGCATGTTGAAACTTGATCGAACCTTGCGATACGCCCCCATCTGTGGTCACGCCTTGCTGCCGTCTCCATTTGTGAAGTGACTCTGTGCAGAGGGAGATGTTCTGGCGCCCGTCCGGCTGGCGCACCCTGCTTTCGAATACAGTACCGGACCAGACCCTTGCGTTTCCCGCTTCTCGGGACCCATCAAGATTTGCGAGCTGGAGAAGGCAGCCGTCAATCCGATACATCGTTCTGACGGGTTGTACTTTGTACTATTTGGGGTTGGCAATGGGTTTGCGTTTCCCGCCCCTCGAATGGAGCATTCAGGGACGAGAGAATTCGTCTGCCTCCTGTGAGGTGCGCGGCGGTATGGAAGTTGGATGGGTGCAATGCACCATGGTGAGCTGTGCTTGAACTCCCAAGCTGGACCGCAAGTGACAAACAGCAGTAAATGTGACAAGCAGCAGCAGCAGCAGCAGCAGCAGCAACAACAACAACAACAGACACGGAGTCGGAGTCGGGGCCAAAGGCTGGTTGAGGTTCCATTGTTTTGCTGACAGCAGCGTCATTGGTAGCATAGGAATTGAGACGTCAAGTTGCAGTGCAAGGTGTTCATTTCTGACACCCAGTGACCCAGGGTAGCGAGGACAACTAGCATCTGGTGTTCCGGGTTGCCGTTACTCTGGCGGCTGGGTGTCTCTTAATGGGGCAGAGTATTGGTGATGGTATCATTGCTTCGAGGGAAGTGATGCGAGGTGATGAGAGGTAGTCGGTGCTAATCGTGTACTTTGATGCTTGATTCGGGGGGGCTGTGCTCATGGGGTTGTCCACCGCCGTGCAGTTTGAGCAGCGGGCAGCATAGCTGCGGTGACCCTAACAGCGGGTCTTTCCAATGTTCAGGTGGCCCGGATTGAGGTGCAGCCAACATTGTTTGGAACGAGTGGAGTTTTGGCTTGTTGCCGGCGGGCGGGCTTAACGGAAAATACTGGCGAGAAATCTTCATTTCCATGTTGGACGAATGATTGCTGGTGAAAAGGCGAGTCGATGGGACTCTGGGAGGTTGAGACCGAGGAGACCGAGGATGGGACTGTGGTGGAAGATGGCAGAATTGAGGACAGGATGTGGTTGATGGTACGAAGTACGTACCTAAGGTACCTAGGGTAGGTAGGTACATAGGTACCTACAGGTAAAGTGGTGGTGGTGGGGTTCAAGGTTGAAGGGCACCCTCGGTACGTATCTTTTTTGGTGACCGGGGGTTGGATCCTTCCTGATCCGCAAAGCCCAGACTCCGCCTCCACTGGGCCACGGCGACGATCTCCCATTGGCTAGTCGATTAGGCAGCAGTCTTTCGCCCCGGACGCTCTCTTCAGAGTTCTGGTCCGCTCAATTGTCGCTCCCGTTCAGCGCAGCGGCGCTCTCTCTCTCTCCACCGGTGCTCGTCTGGCTGCTGGACTTTCTCTCACTCTACTGCGTAAGGTGCTCAGTGCTGGGCTGCTTTTCTAATCAAACCTCGATGACCTTCGACCCCCGGTACACCAACAACCGCCTCTTCCTCGCTCACGACCACCACGCGCCTCTTCTCTCTCCTTCCACCCACCCTCAATCCTCGACCGAATCCTCTTCCTCCTCCTGCTTCTCTTCCTCCTTTTTTTGCTCTCCTCGATTTCTAGGATATCCAAGCCGCTTCCTCGACACCAAACCCAATCCCGTCTTGTCCCACTGAGGCCGCCGCACTTCAGTCCGCTTCTTCCTCGTCTCCTCCCACATCATCCTCAAAGAATATCGCCCACGGCAAGCAGCTCAGACTATCTACGTCTGCTTTCTTCCATCCTCGTGTGCATACGCCGACGCGTACGACAGCTGGGACGAAAAGGCGCATCATACTACATTGTCTTGCTCCCATACCCGCAGACAGGACCCCTCAAAATCAGGCAGACTTCAACGGCCTCGCCTTAAATCCACTACTCGCCTGCTCTGCTCGCCTTTCGCCTCGTCTGGCCTTCCGTTGCCATCTCCCCATACCATCGACGTTATCGCCTTCGATACCATCTTTCATCTCGACGTAAGGCCCCGTCTCGTCCTATTCTTCCTCTTCCTCTCTCTCTCTCTCTCCCCCTCTTCATCCACTTTGTCCACACGATATCCGTCTCAAACATTTCCCGCCACCTCATCACATTGGCCAATCCTAAACCTTGGGCTTGCTCAAGAGGCTAGGACTACTACATCAGACCTACCAGTGAGGTCCTGGTCGTGACTCACACTCCGTGTCCTATTCAGCCCTACAACTCCATGAACCCTCAAGAGATCTAACACAACCTAGCCGACAGAGTTCTGGACACCCGTGTCATCACCGTCACCATGTCCGTCTCCGTCAACCCTCGACGCAGGACTCCGGTGACTCGCCCGGAGTCTCCTGCCGGCACTGGCCTCACTCTTAAGACCAACAGCCTCCGCAAGGGCGCTACCTTCCACTCTCCCACCAGTCCTACCTCTTCTATGGATGATGCCTTGACTGCTGCCCCTCCAAGCCTTCGACGCTCCCAGACCAACCTGGACGACGTTGTCGACGCCCACTGCCGCCGCATGGCCTTGATCGTCGACGACATTGACAAGTCCCTTGCCAACATCAACCTGGTCTCCCCCAAGACCAAGTCTTTCCGCGACGATAGTCTTCCCGTTCCCAGAGGCTTCCTCAACCTGCCCGTTGTCGACCCCGCCATGGCAAAGGAAAAGTCAAAGGAGACGGAACGTCGCATTCTGCGTCCCAGAACCCGCCGTTCCTCGAGACATCATGAATCAGACAGCGGACTCGGAACCTCTGTCGCCCCCACCACCGAGACAGAGCCTGCAACCACCGCATCAAAGAAGGCATCCGCCATCACAAGGTCCGCTGCCAACACTTCTTCTGCCACCATGGAGAAGCTTCCCGCCCTCAGCTCCAAGGCTGTCAACCGCATTCACGAGCACGTCCTCCGCCCACTCCGGGCCAAGCCTGCTCTCAAGGACTTTGAGCCGATTGTTCTTGACATCCCCAGACGCATTAGGGAGAAGGAGATCATCTGCCTGAGAGATCTCGAAAAGACCCTTATTTTCATGGCACCCGTAAGTCATTCACTAACTGAAACTGGAGTTTGGGCAATTACTTATCGATCGTTGATGAAGGAGAGGACCAAGACCGCCGCCTTGTACCTCGATTTCTGCCTGACGTCGATCCACTGCATTCAAGCAACCGTGGAATACCTAAGCGACCGAGAACAGACTCGACCAAACGACCGCCCTTACACTAACGGATACTTCATCGATCTCGTGGAACAGATTCGCCAGTACGCAGGACAACTTGCTGCCGCTAAGGAGACTGGATCAGACGCCGCTGAGATGGACGTCGACCCGTACGATATTCGTTCCCAATTGATCCCTCACTCAACTAACTTGTTCCGTAGGACCGATGAGATCAAGCTCTTCGGAGGCATCGCTGACAACGGCCGCCCTGCCGAGCTCATCCGTATTCGCAAGGATGGTAAGGCCATTTCAATGGCCACCGGCTTGGAGGTCGATTTGGATGACCCCAAGAGCCCCATTCAGATGAAGCGCTCATTGAGCCAGCAGTTGGAGGATGACGAGGAGATTATGCGTTCCATGGCTCGCCGCAAGAAGAACGCCAGCCCTGAGGAGCTTGCCCCCAAGAAGTGCCGTGAGCCTGGCTGCAACAAGGAGTTCAAGCGTCCTTGTGACCTGACCAAGCACGAGAAGACTCACTCTCGTCCTTGGAAGTGCCCCGTCACTTCATGCAAATACCACAACTATGGCTGGCCGACCGAGAAGGAGATGGATCGCCACCACAACGACAAGCACTCGTCGGCCCCGCCCATGTACGAGTGCTTGTACAAGCCCTGCCCATACAAGTCTAAGCGGGAGTCCAACTGCAAACAGCACATGGAGAAGGCCCATGGCTGGCAATACGTTCGCACCAAGACCAACGGCAAGAAGCCCTCGAGCGTTGCCGGCAGTGTCGCCCAATCCACCCCTCTTCTCAACCAAATGCCCACTCCCTCTACGAGCAGCGCCGCTACCCCGCCTGCTCCTTTGGACCAGGCTCAGCAGTTCAACTTCAACGACCCTCTCCTCGCTCCGATGCACCCCATCGGTCCTGTTGGCGACTTTGCTTCCCACATTGATGGCATGGAGTTCCCTTCCTACATCTCGGACGAGGAGTTTGACCAAATGGTTGGTCAGGGTGGGTTCGATGGACAGATGGATTTGGAGATGTCCCTGTCTCCTTCCGACCACAACACCCCTGCCACCGAAATCTCGACTGGGCCATACATTTACCAGGACGGCCCCGACTTCACGGTGAACGAGGATATCTACGGCGCACACGCCCAGATCCCCACCCCAGACAGAGCCGTCTTCGCTCAGAAGGAGCTGGACATGGCTTTCCCTATCTACCAGCCTGTTCCCGCTTGCCAGCCTCAGATTGTTCCTGCCCAAACTGCACCACACATCTCTCCTATTGGTCAGGGCAACGCAATGCTCTTTACGCCAAACTCGTTGGCCGAGGTTGACGAGGGTTTTGAGGACAACTACACCGGTGGTGGAAATGAATTCTGCGGCAACGACTTCCAGCTGTTCCCTGCCAACAACGTGACCAAGATGTACGAGCCACTCTTCGGCGAAGTGCCAAGTGCTGGCTTGGGTTACTCGCAAGCGTCACAGGATCCTTTCCAATCCATCGACTGGAACTTGGATTACCAAAACTTTCAAAGCCAGTAAATGTGTACTAGGGCTTGGTGCGTTGGAAACTTGTGACAAAAACGTTGATCTGGCACGGGGCCAGCTAATGATTTGATGACTGGATGGGATGGGCCTCGAAAGAGGTTCGAGGAAGTCGGACGTTCGACTTTTCCTCTTTTGCGTACTTTGTATTATTGATCTCGCACATCTACGCTGCTTGCTCCAGGACTTGTCTTGTTTCTCATTTTTGATTCACATGAGATTGACGATAGAGAAGATGTTTGGTGTAGTGGGATACGTGGTGGATGAGCAGCCAGACTTGAGAGTCTATGGTTTGAAACTCCGCGATTTGAGGATGAGGGTCTAGAGACATATCTCGCTCAATTTGATATGGCATTTTTGAAGCCACAAAAACAAAACCGTCTCCGAGTGCCCGTTGAGCAATGCCCTGAGATGACACACTGACTTGACTACCATTAGGTAGTCTCGTGTTCGCTGATGGATAGTTTGCTCTGGGTTCTCAGAGGCACAGAAAAAAAGACACCAACACCAAACACCAATAACAACGGCAAAAACATGGAGCAAAGGCACAGCAGCTCTACCTTGGGGAGTGAGACTTGGAAACGCAGTGTCCCGAAACTAATTCGGGCCTCCGCGGGGAGAGGGACATGAATGACGTGGTGGTTGTGGGAGTAGCTATGAGTCTTTGCGGCAAAGCCAAGTGTTGTCTCACCTACTTTCCTCAACGTCAGAGGGGCG